AACAGAAATATGCTAATTGGAACCAGAAGATCAATAGCAAGTGGATAGTAAGCTCAGAATGAAAACTTTCTTGGTAAAGAGCAGGGCATTTGGTTTTACGGTGTTCTGAAGTAAATTGTAAATCCACGCTGGATAGCCACGGTTCTTGTTTTGGGCTTGTTGAAAGGCACATTGGTCTCTGAGAACTGATTGCTATTTGAGATCAAGATTGTAATTATAAAAGTGTGTGGGGTAGATGGTACTGAGTTTTAAATTCCTGGGGTTCAGAGGGACCTGTTCCCCCAGTGACCACTGGCGTGTTGGGCAGTGGGTGGCGATGCTGTCCCGGGGCTTTCCTGGGCCTCTTCACTCACGTCTGAGTGTTCGTGAGGTGGAGAAGTGGGGTCCTGAGTTGCTTCCTGAGGGGGCTGGCACCCTAACCCTGGGCTCTCTCTGCCTTGCTCTCCCGGTTAGCCCTGGTTTCCAGGAGATTTCTCTGTCTCCGGGATGGAGGTCAGATTCCGCTCCCCTTTTTGCCTCCCCTGGATTTGCTTGCTTTTTCCTGTCGTATGTGCTGGGGGCCCGCGCTCCATGTCTGCTGTGAAGTGAAACCCGGGCCTTGGATGGACTGTTTGCACCTCTGGGTATGTGGTGTTGACCGGCAGCCACCCCAGTCCTGGGCTGCAGGACGAGGAGGAAGCTTTTGTTCACTCTGTGACGTTGGCTCCCCACAGGCCCGCCTTGGCCTCCGCCCAGCTGACCAGCTTCTTCGAGGCGCTGGGCTCTGTGCTGAGGTACAGGGCCACTGTCCTGCAGGCCTTCAAGGACATGAACCGCTTCACCGTGAACGAGACCGTGCTGTCCACCAGGGATGTCCTCATCCTCATGCACAAATGGAGCCTCATCGAGCGAGACGTCCAGCTCCAGGAGGCCCTGAGAGCGGCCGTTGAGAAATACCAAGTCAAGGAGCTGCTGAGTGAGTGTCAGGACCCAGGCCTCTGTCTCGTGTTCCCTGGGGCCTCAGTTCCACCCAGAGCCCCCAGCGTCTTTCCCTCTGAGAGCGGCATTTCCAAGGCTGATGAGGCTTAGAAACAGGGCCTGTCCATCTTCATGTGCTAGAGAGGGAGTTGGGGAGACCTGGCTCTGAGTTCCAGCTCGGCCGCTGTCAGGGGCTCCTCCGTGGACAGTGGGAGGGGCTTTGGTTGTGGTGAGGGTTAAACTGATTCATTCTAACAGCAGCAGTGACAGCCCCAGTCACAGTGAGTGCTCGCTGTGCTCCAGGCACAGGCGCGTGTCCTGTTGGAGCAGCGCCGAGCGCCCAGTGCCTGTGAGCTGCCCCCATGCCCTCCCTGCTGTTGCGCTGCCTGGATCCGCGTGGGGAGGAGGGACTCGGTCTCACTGCCTTTTTCCTCACTGTGTGGATAACAGAAATGCTCAAGGATAAGAACAAGCCCGTCACGCCAGCTCGAGCCAAGGGCCCACGGGGCCGGAAGAAGAGGCTTGGGGAGGCAGAGGAGGCAGCCGACCCCGAGCTGGACATGTCCAGCTTGGAGACGTGCAAGGGCCTCCTGAGGTCCATACTGACCCACTGGGGGCCAGTGTTCCCGAACCCTGAAGCCGCTCAAGAGCCTGAGGACCGGCCCACCCCCCAGAGCGATGCACCAGACCCTGTGCACGCCACCGCCTCCCTAGTGGTCAGCTGGGTGCTGCGGTCAGTGGCTGAGCACCCTCTCAGCAGGACAGAGGCTTCCAGACTCCTTGGCTGGCTGAAGAGCCATATTTTGCCACAGCTGGTGGTCGTGGCCGACCTTCTTAAGGACAGCGCCGTGAGGAGTGGCATATTTAAGCTGTACAGCCGGCTCTGCAGTGCCGAGAGGCTGGCGGGGCCGGAGCAGCAGGTGGCCTGCTTGTTCAACACAGTCATGCTGCAGCTGGTGGCGGCCCGGGGCCCAGCGGGAAGCCCCTTCCACCCAGCGGTTGCGACCCTCTGCCTCTCTTCCCTGAGTGAGGAGGATGAAGCCACGCGAGGTAATGCTGGTTTGTGGGTCAGAGGCGGAAGAAATGCGTGAGTGGGCTTGCGGGTGGAGCAGCTTCTGAGCTTTAGAGCCTGTCAGTCCTTTAGATTGAGTGCGTACGTAGCCTTTTAACCACGACTCTGGGATCCCAGAGAGTTTGCCATTGCGCCTGAATGTGAAGGGAGAGCACGTCTCTTCCTTTGCTTTCAAGTCAAGCCTTTGATGACGATCGTGTCTGCAGTAAAGAAAAGGGGCCGCCTCAGGATCCCGTGTCCCTCTGGGGCCTGTCCCACCCTGCAGACCAGTGGCTCTCCTAAGTTTCCACCATTACCCAAGTGAAGAATGGTTTCACGTTGTAGCCAGATGTGTTGTACACGTGTGTGTATATGCATATATACACACAAGCACACAAACATACACACCGTTTATGTGCTTGGCATTCAGCTGGTGCTTAATAAAGGTTTGACTGCACAAATGAGTGAGTAGCAGAGGCTTTGAAAGGCTGTAAGAGAACATAGGGAGGCTGTGACTGTGTGCATGGCCTCCGCCATCTGGGAGAGTTGTTCCTTTCACTGAGGGACGTAAGGGGAGCCGGGGGGATGGCCAGCAGCCGGGGCAGGTGAGCTGTCCTGGTGGCCGGGGGTGACCTGTCTCTCATGTGGCTGCAGTCAGGGAATCGAGTCCCTTCTCCTTGCCGGGCCGCTGAGGATGTGGCATGGGTGATTCCACGAAGCCCTGCTCCCGCTTCACTGCTGGTTCTCGGCGGGGATGGTCAGAACCTGGAAGGCGCTTGGCTTGTTGTAACTGTCTCTACCTTCCACACACATTCATCAAATAGATAAACTTTAAGATGAACAAAAAATATTAACACGAAAGTTAAGCGGAGGCCAGATTCATTTGTTTCATCCCCATGCTCAACTCGGGTTGCCACGAGCATGTGGTGCAGTGTGTTTGGGTGCTCAGTGCAGCCCCACTGTGGGGTGGGGTGGCTTGTTTCTCCGCTGAGGAGATCTGTGTCCTCATGGCCTTGTTGTCGCTCTTCCTCAGCCGCCGCAGCCTTCCTGGTGTCTCTGTACGTTAAGGACGTCTGGCTGGGGGCCCAGCAGCCGGACACCCTCTTAGCCCACGTCCGGATGATCTCCGACGCCTCAGAGGGTGCACCAGGTGGTAACGAGGATGCCATCGTCATGCTCTGCAAGGACATCGCTGCCGCTGCCCCAGACTCTTGAGTCCCTGCCGTCCTGCGCCTCCAGCACTGGGTTCTAGAAGTTCAGTTGATCAAGGGTTTCCATGGAAAACATGCAAAGTGACAAGTTCCGTATATTGACTCAGTTTCCTGACAAGAAAAGTTGACTGTATTTTGTTGACCGATAATTTTAAGCTCCAGGGACTGTGTGTGGGACAGGGTCAGAGTTAAAGTGGGCGTGGGGTCCTTTGGGGCCACAAGCCCACCCAGTGTTGAGTTGGGGAAGACCCTTCCTCTCAGGGCTTTGTCATTCTGCAGAGGAGGCACCGCAGGTTGAGGTGGCGCATCTCCGCGCCTGAGGGCTCATGGGTACCAAAGCTGGAATGTCAAAAACTGTATCAGATAGAAGAGCATGAAGGGAGATGTTAAAAGTTTCTTTCTTTAACAAGTCCTTACAAAGCTTTGTATAACATTTCAAATAGATAAATTCCTGCCAGTATTTGTTAATTATTTTAGTAAATAAAAGGATGTTTTACACTAAATCCTTAAAGTATAAAATTGATTTGACCTCTGCTTTGGAAAGGCAACCTGTATTTTTCAAAGCTGTGTTTCAAAGAGGAGATTTTGAGTTTTATAACTTCTTGTTAATAAATGTCTATTTTTGTTAGGTTTTGTGTCTTGCTTAGTCGATGTTAGCAGTGTGGTGTTATTCCATAGAGACCTGCATTTAGAGGTCAGGGCTTGACTTTTAAGATTTCCGTATTAATTGGTATTGTAGCTGACAAACGTCGAATATGAAATTTCATGGGTTTCACAGATAAAATTCTAGCCTGTTCCTTAAAGCTGCACGCATTCCCATGCCCCTCCGCACATCTTGGGGCCCAGGGGTCTGCTCAGCCGTCCTCACAGCAGCGGTCCATGTGTCCCCTGGGAGCTGGCTGCTGCTTTGCCCCTATAACATACGCAGCACTGAGAATGGCTTGGTTTCAGCTTAAACATTTACACTTTTATACATCTCCAGAGTTCTTTAGACTCCTCTCTGGTTTTTTAATGACAAGATTTTAACCATGACAAGAGTAATGCTTGTTCACATCTAGTCCACTCACCACAAATAGGGCCCGTTGTCTACCTCCCTATCCCCTCCCCAAACCCCAACACTGGTCTTTGAGAACATTCCGAAGTCGGAATCCTACGCAGGTTCAGGTTGGAAAGGCCGGCTGTTCCTTTGTCACCCCTTTTCCGCATCTCCTGAGCTCATCGGTCTCCCTCCCCTGTCTGCCCTTCTAGACCGTGCCCGGCCCTCACTGTGGCGGACTCTTTTTCCCTAGGTAGGGTGGCTTTTAGGGGCTTTGTAGTGTGGTGCTGTGTCCCTGCCAGGAGCAGGCTGCTGGGCACTAGAGGACCAGATCCTTCGGGGGTCTCAGATCAGAGGTCCCATAAAGTCACATCCAGGGGGGGACCCTTCCTGCCGGCTTAAAGGTGTTCTGGGGTAACACGGAGGCGCATTCTCTCCCTTTGGTGTAGGCCCTGCTGGCCGGGCTGGCTGCCCCCTCCGGGGAAGACGCTGTGTCTTTGAAGAGCCTCGGGAAGGTGGGAAGTGGGACTAGCGTCCCTGACCGCAGTGAGCTGGCCTGGCCAGGCACACACTGCCCCGTCTCTGTGAGTGGACGTCCGTCCGTGGGGATGGATGGAAACCACACAGGCCTTCCCTGGGTGTCCTCAAAAAGGTCCAGATCAACCCAGTGAAATCAAGGTCGGTAAAATAGTACAGCAATAAGAGTTGAAGCTGAAAAGTGGCACGGTAAAGATTAGCAAGTGAGTATTTTTTAAATTTAGTTCATACATATTTATTTTTCTGCCCTTCCCAAAGCAAACATAAGCAGTAAATAAGCAAGTTTAAGTGCACTAAATAAAATGAGCAATATCAGAGACTACTTTCCCATGCTGGGTGGTTAGGCGTTGCCATCCTTGGATAAATGCATGTTGTCTGCCTCCTGGCAGAGTCACTGTTGACCCGGTTGTGCTTCCTGCTACGTGTGAACGGGCTTTCTGAACGCATGTGCGTGTCCAGGTTGGTCTGAGTTCCCTGGTTCCCTCGGCAATGGCTGTGGTTTGCTGGTGTCGGTTCTACAGTCCGGAGGTTCAGTCTCCAGGGGGAGGCTCGCTGGACTCATTCCTGACATCAGCTGACGCGGTGGGGGTCCCCATCAGGGGTCAGTTCCCAGAGGAGGGCACAGTGGGCCTGGGGGGCTGTGGGGGACAAGGCAGAGGGGCTCTCTCCCTGCGGCTGCTGATCGCGGCCGGATGCTCTGCTGCCTGGTTCCTCAGCCGAGCTCGGTGGAGCCTGCGGGGTCCCCCGAGGGTCCCTGTGGTGCGGTGGGTGCCTCCGGACACAGAAGGGGAGGTTGAGGCTGTGACTCCAGGGACATGTTGGGTGGTGCTGGGTGTTGTCCCTGTGGACAGAGCAGATGGAAGAAGGCAGGCATCAAAGCCAGCAGAGAACCGCCCCTCCTGGGGGCTTCCCTGTGGCTCCCTCCTGCCTCCAAAGCCCATAGGGACGGAGCCACAGAGCGCCAGCACCTCTGCCAGGGGAGCAGGGCCACGGGGAGGGGCAGCCCGGCTTGCAGAGGTCACCATTGTGGAGAAATGGAAGAAAAGAGGAAGTGTTGATGGTGACCTAGACCTGAGGTCTTTCCCCCCGAGGTCACTTCTCCCTCGTGTGTCCACTTACAGTTGGGGGGTGGGGGATGGGGGGCAGATGGACCTTCCCTGCATCCACGCGTTTGCGAGTGGCTCATCTGGTATCCACGTATCCAGCCAACTTGGATCTTAGCTGGAAATCCCTCCTCTCTGGATGGACTCATCTGCACTCGAGGTGCGGGGGGCAGAGGACACAGCCCCCTGGCATGAGCCCAGCCCTCCACGTCCTGCCTGCCTTCAGTTTCATCAATGAAATGGGATGATAATTGCCTCATAGGTCTCATCAGGATGAAATGAGGCAGGGTAGTGACAGCTGTCTAAGCTGGAGAACTAGTGTTCATGTGCTTATCATTCTAACGTGAATGAAGCAGCCAGGAAGGGAGCCCGAGGGAGCTCAGCCCCCTTCCAGACGATGCTAGCATAACCTTTTTCTTTTTTAGCACGGAACTCAGCATTCTCTTTCCTAAGTTCTACCAGGGATCCATCTGGCTACCCTGAGCATTCCACAGTCTTTACAGAGTGCCTGGAGAGCATTTTCTCTAGGGCGCCAGGAGGCCAGTCAGGACGAACAACGTCATCAAGTTGCCCTGTGAAATTCTTGCCCAGAAAACATGCAAGACCCCTCAGCCATGGCCACCTGTGTGCTCACAGGACTAAGCAACTTTCCCCCAGGAGGACAACTGACCATCCTTGCAAACTGTCCCTTGTTCCAAGTCACCTCAGAAGAGTAGAAAAGAAAGACGATTTCATTAGTTTATCCCCCAGGTATCTCTTGGAGGTAAAAAACCTGCTTAAATTCAATGTCAGTTCTGAAAGCTGAAAGGAAAAAGTAGATTTCTTCGTTGCTCCAAAGCTGGTCCCTGCCTCACATGTGTGCAAAGGGAACCAGAAATGACCTGGGGAGGGTCGACCTGCTGGATGGGACACTACGGGCAGGGTAGGTGGGGGAGGGGTAGAAGAAACAGGCCCATCCAAGTGTGTCTGCACATGCGCGGACACACAGGTCCTCACGGGAACCTGCAGTGGGACCCCGTCGGTGGACGGGCTGTCCTCTCTGGTTCTTTCAAGGTCTTCAAGGCTCCTCATCCTTTCCTCTCTCAAAATAGCCCTGCTCATCTCTCTCTGCTACCAGCTCCTATGCTGACTCGTGGTTTCCTCTGCCCTAGACTTCTTGCTCCACGATGGCGTCCAGCCCCGGTCTTCTTCCTGGACGCTTCACTGCCATCTGAGGCCAGGTCACATGTTTCAAGGGACATTGGCCAGCCCCGGACAGGCCCTCATTGGGTCAGTTGCCCAGCCCTGGTCCCGTCAGCTATGGCAGGGAGAGAGGTGACATAGGGTCCCTTGTAAGAACAGTCTTTAGGACAGCTATGGGGGCAGATTAAGCTAGAAAGGAAAATTGGATGCGGTGGGCCAGTTGTCCAGCACAAGAGAGTTAACATATAACGAGCTAGGCTCTAATTACCACTCGGAGCTCCTAGATTTTACATCCAATTTAACCACTAAGGCACTCAGTAGGCACTCAATACCAGATGGTGGCCATAGATGACTAAATTAGGCTCCCATTTTCCTGGTGAGGTATTTAGCAAGACTTAACTGACACATGGGGTCCTTTCAACTGTACTTTTTTTAACAGCTTAATTGAGATACTTTACATACAATGAAGTTCGCCCATTTGAAGTATAAAAATTCACTGCTCTTCAATATAGTCACAGAACTGTGCAACCATCACCACAATCTATCTTAGAATATTTTTATCCTCTGGGAAAGAAATCCAGCACCCGGTAGCAACCTCTCATCTGCTTTCTGTCTCTAGAGATTGGCCTGTTCCAGACATTTCTTATCAATGGAATCACACAGTGTAGGGTCTTCTGTGTCTAGCTTCTTTCACCCAGCACCATGCTGTTGAGGTTCATCCATGTGTTGGCATGAATCAGTGCTTTGTTCCTTTTTATGGCTGAATAATATTCCGCTGTGTGGACACACAGTTCCTCACTATTTAACCACGTGAGTGATCTCCATCCCCACCCTCCTCACTTACCTCATCTGCGGGGAGCCCGACCAGGACATGTAGAGCAGGATGAGGAAGAGAAGCACCACGAAGGCCGCCAGGCTCACCCAGAAGACGATGACGATGGAATCTGCAGGAGGGAGAGCTGCATCTCAGCGTCAGTGTGATGTCCCCGAAGCCCACAGCAGGGAAATAAGGGCCCCGAGCACTGTGGAAATAGGCTTCTGAGTATACCTGTTCCCTACCTGTTCCCTCTTCCTCCAGCCTCTCAGCTGTGACCATTGAGAAGCTGTTTCCATTAATAGGAAACTTGGGAAGGACCAGGGCAGCAGGGAAGTGGCTTTCTATCAGGGCAACTGGCTGCTGGGTCAGTTAGGGTGATGGCTGAGGGAAAACAGTACACGGACTTCGGTGGCGCCCTACGAACTTACTTTTGCACCTGCTCCTGCTGCTGCCCGCCCTCTCTTACTCCCTGGGAGGGAGGAGAAAGGGCTGTGGGCAGCTTCGTGTCACAGGATGGCCACCTCTCCCCTGAGATGGCTTCGGGGCCTTTGGTGACCAGCCCCATGAGGGGCAGCTTCAGAGACCCCAAGAATTAGAGACACAGGAGGATGTCCGCTAGATGACAGCATTTGAGTGCTCCCCATGGAAGGCGAGGCCCTTCTGGCTGCGGAGCTGTTAACGAACTCCAGCAACTGCAGCCTGCTCGGTGTGGCAGAAAGAGCGGCTCCTTCTCCTTCAGGTGGACAGGCCCAGCTGGGGGCAAACGACCGGATGGAAAAGCACTTTGCAGCCACCACTATGGCTGTATTTGCAGCCAGAGGCTGAAGGTGCCTCGGGAAACCAGGAAACATGCCTAGACTCTTCTGGGCCCTGGGTAGAACCTGGCAGGTCAGGAGGTGCCTTTCTCCAGAGCACCAGTTCAGGAACATTCGGCAAGTTGCTAGGGACCTGCTGCAATGCGGTTGTTTTTCTTGGTGATTGTCCATGGCTATGGGCACAGAGCACCAGGCACATAATTAGTGTCTGCCAGTATCTCCTCCCAGAGGTGCTCATGACTGTGGGACAAGATGCCCCAAACCGGGATACGCTGGACACCTACACATGTGACCAAAGGGGGCTCCTGAAGGATGGTAATCCCACAGGTATTTAGTAAGCACCTACACGAGCCAGGATCTGCTAGGGGCTGTTAAGATGCAGAGGGAGTCAACCCCGCACTCCAGAAATCCTGGATGCCCTTGCCTGCACTCTCCTCCCCCAACCTCCTCCTCTGAACTCCTGCAGCACGTTTTGCTCTCACCCTACCCTGCCTTCTGTTGTGTTCTGTTCAAACAAAAAGATGTTTATGAATGGGTAAACGAATGAATGAATGAATGCATGCATGCATGTATACAAAGGATCTTCAAGATTTGTGAGTCATCTACAGAGAGATGGAGGTGGAGGCCCTGGGGGTAAATAATGGTATTTGAGTAAAGGGTGTCACCTCTACCCTCTATGACCCAAGAAGGGTAGAGGGAGAAACTGAAGACTTGTCAGAGTTGATCTTGGACCCTGACAGCATCAAAAACAGGATAGAGGGAAAAGATGCAGAACTTGCAAAAGGAATCAGAGCTCCTACTACCCTGTAAGGCGCCATCAGCAACTCGGCATTGACCCTCCAGAGGGGCCAGGCCTACAAAGACCCCCAGGCTGGCTCTCACATCCTCTCTCCTTCCTGTCCCTGAGCTGAGAAACGGATGGTGGCGCCCTAGAGCACTGAACTCTTTAAGGGACATATGGGCTCCTGGGAAGCAGGAAAGGAGGTTGTTACTGTCTGTCCTAAGACTAAAAACGTTTAAAAGAAGCTTCTGACGTTCTCAGCATCCCTTGCTCACTCACTGTTCATTATTCTACAACACCTGCGTCAGCCCAACTTCATCGCAGAGTCACGATTTATTTTACGACCCTCTGAGGATGATGGTATATATGCTCTCAGAAAATTTGGTTTGGAATTTTATTCTGTAAGGGTGTTTGAGATTTCTTCAGACACTAATGCTTGTTTTCCTTCATAAATCTAACGCAGGGCCTGAGGTCTTGAGTGCCTAGATGAGTTGTGTAAGGGCCTCTACGGTGATGGCTTCAAAAATTTAGCAGTTAAGGGGCCGGCCCCGTGGCCGAGTGGTTGAGTTCGCGCACTCCACTTAGGCGGCCCAGGGTTTCGCCGGTTCGAATCCTGGGCACAGACATGGCACTGCTCATCAGGCCATGCTGAGGTGGCGTCCCACATGCCACAGCTAGAAGGACCCACAACTAAAAATACACAACTATGTACTGGGGGGCTTTGGGGAGAAAAAGGAAAAATAAAATCTTTAAAAATTTAGCAGTTGAGACATCCCCTCCCCTTCTCCCGGGCTCACACTTGTCTGCTGCAGCCTGTGATCATTATCCTCAGATACAAGCAGGGAATGAGATGACAGCTTCCACAGAACACAGTGTCTACAGAGAAGGGAAGTTTGTATTTTGTAGACCAAAAACGCGATCAATCGCCACTAGCCATTTCCTGTGCGAAATTCTCTTTCATCATGTTCTGTTGAAAAAGGCAGCCAAGAAAATAGGCTTCTTTTTCCTCTTCCCACTGAAGGTTCAGCCTAAGTGCTTGGAGAGAACATTTTGTTCCAAGGGCAAGAGCTGTCATTCCCCAGTGTCGGACGGAAATATTTAAACATCCGAGGGCTTGTCTTTACAAAGAGGAGCACCAGGCTGGGCAATGAAACCGGTCCAGCCATAGATAACTCCCCCTCCCTTCCTGCTCCTTCCCTCTCTCATTTCCTTCTTTCCCCTTCCCTCCCCTTTTTCCTCCCTCCGTCCTTCCTTCCTTTCCAAGTCCACACCGGCAGAATGAAGGAAATTGGGCATCCACAGTGGATTGACAAAAGAAGGCTCTGGATGGACTGGTTGGGCTGCACTTCACGTCGGGGGGCCGGGCAGGGGTGGTTTTCTCAACCTACCTTGGAATTGACAAACTACTCCAATCGGAATACTCCCTACTCATAGGAGGCACCTCAGTTTTGCTGAGTGAGAACCGATAAACCCCAGTTTTAGCATTCCTCCAAATGCTGCTAATATTTGAGTCTCAGAGTCCTAGCAGAAGATTGACTCCAAGAGTCTTCCCTTTTGGGGAGCAATGGCAGCGGGAAGGGCCTAGGATCTGGAGGTGCCTAGGGGAAGTTTTGAGTTCAAATTCTGACTAGGCCATTTTCTAGCCATGTGATCTCAGGCAATCTGGGTTTTTTGTTTTTTTTTTTTTTAAAGATTTTATTTTTTTCCTTTTTCTCCCCAAAGCCCCCCGGTACATAGTCGTATATTCCTCGTTGTGGGTCCTTCTAGTTGTGGTGTGTGAGATGCTGCCTCAGCGTGGTTTGATGAGCAGTGCCATGTCCATGCCCAGGATTCGAACCAACGAAACACTGGGCAGCCAGCAGCGGAGCACACGCACTTAACCACTTGGCCACAGGGCCAGCCCCCAATCTGGGATTTTCACACCTCTAAATCTGTTTCCACATCTGTTAAATGGGGATAATCATATAGGCTGTTAAGTGGATTAAATAAAATAATATGTATATACAATGCACATGGCACAGTTCCTCATTTAATGGATGTGAAATGATATATAAATAGAACTAAAATTATCATTTCTGTTAAGAGGGTTTAGTGCCAAGTGATATCACTGCGTCCTTTAAGCTCACTGAAATGTAAGATATGAGTAAAGGTAGTTGTGGCATAGACTGCTAGTTGTCAATCCTAATGTTCCCTCTCAGCCACTTCCTTAGTGATAGAACTCCTGCCTTTAGCTGGGTACATGGCTGCCTGGAATAAAGACTACATTTCCCAGCTTCCCTTTCAGCTAGATATGGCCATGTGACAAGATTCTGGCCAGTGAGATGTGAGTGGAGCCTACAGGACAACTTCTAGGAGTCTTCCTGCAGAGACTGCTAGAGTTCTAGTACCTTGTGTCTCTTTTTATTCCCTTCCTCCATTTTGCTGCCCAGAACATGGGTGTGATGGCTAGAGCGAGGCCTAGAGAATGAGGGACATGTCCCAGAGATGGCAGAGAATGAGCTGGAATGAAGCTGGTTCCTGAGGATTTCATGGAGAGGACCCCCCACCCGTCCTGCAGACTTGGCCATGAGAGAGAAATCAACTTCTAGTTCATCTGGTACTCTGCTAATTGTAACCAATTTTCTTTATTGAATCAGTAAAAAGAACTGCCATTAAATGAATATACCAAAACTTGAAAATCCAAATGAATGCTGACCTTCAAAATAATCACCCTCCCTCTACCATAGAGTCATATGAATTTTCCTAAAATAGGCACATTGACCAAACATTTATCGAACATTCATAAACATTTACGAATTCTTCTTTTGGAATTCCCTTCAAGGACACACATACACACACACACACACACACCAATTTTGCTCCTTTATGAGATCATATTTTATTTTTGACACCCAGGTGGTATCAATTACCTTAATCATCCATTTCATTCACTCAACTGGTTTCTGGGTGATTCTTAACTATTTCCCAAAAGCAAATCTACCCTCAAAGAGTATACATCACTTATAAGCAAATACATGGACAAAGAGAACAGATTAGTGATTACCAGAGGGGAAGGGGGTTAGGGGGTGGGCATAAAGGGTAAAGGGGCACATATATAGGGTGACTGACAGACAATAATGTACAACTGAAATTTCACAATGTTGTAAACTATTATGACATCAATTTTTAAAACTAAAAAAACAAAACTTTAAAAAAATACATCAATTTATCACCATGTATGTTTCCTAGGATGTGCTATTGTCACCAAAGTCAGCTCCAAAAGAACAGTGCCAAGCAGTTTTTCAGCAATAATGGAATCATTCAAGTGTAGCGCCTTCCCGTGGGGCTGTTTTCGTGGGGAATTTGTTCCAAGGTAAACATTCTCCTATCTGTGTTTAGAAATCGCTTTCACTGTTTATGTCATGCCCATGGGACTGACTGTTTGTGAAGAGTTAGAGGTCAGGGTTGAAGTTGTAACCTGAAATTGATTACTCTGAATGAGAGGAAAGAGTTGTGTGTAGAGCTTTTGTTCAATCTTTTCACTGACTTCTC